TAAGAAATACACTATATAACAAACTTATAAACTAACTATATTTAACCGAAATTGAGATTTGAAGTCATTGAGAAAATTACACTGAATGTTAAAGATTATAGTCTTCATTCTTTTGAAATGGATTTTTATCGCAGTGGTGTGATATTAACTCGATAACTACTTGGAAGCTGGGTATGGTGAATACTTATTCTTTTTAATCGTATTTTGAAACCATAAAATTTTTTAGAACATACAGTAAGTATAAAACCACTAAATTTTAATCTGAACTTATTCAGTTTCAATTATATCCCATTCAGAATATAGAACAGTCATTGTAATTTACTACCTATGGTCTGTTTTGTTATCCAGGGTTCTCTAGCGAAAGCCAATAAGTGTTGAAAAATATGTATATATATAAACGTTCAACTATTTTCACAATTGCAGTGCTAAACATCAATGGGAAGATTAAAAGAAAGAGAATTAAACTTCATCCCATTGCACAAGCAAATAGCTATGAGGCCTCAGTAGCTAGCTGAGTGGATAACGTCATGATTTTTCAGGCGAATGGTACTGGGTTCGAGTCTCACAGTGAACATCAACTCTAAGATGTAGGTACATCTATCTGACGAGTTCCAAATAGAACGAAACGCACGTCAAACTGGATTCATTCAAATCTATACTACACACTATAAACTAACTAGATTTAACCGATACTGAGATTTCAAATCATGGCGAAAAATACACTAAATATTAGAGAACATAGTCTTCTTTTCATAAATGAATCATGCTAATGAATGAATAGTTTGCTATAACATATTTTTTTTAAAATGGTAGTTGTATATAACCATATATCAGACTTTATCTAAGTAAACAAATATGTAAATAAATTAACATAGAACTAAGTTAGCTAATACATTGAAAATAGAATAATCTATAAAATATAATTTTTCAACACCATATAAAAATTGTGTGCAAAATTCAATTTCAAGGTCAAACTGCCAAGTTCTTTTTTCTTGTTGTTATGTTATGGAAGAAAAATAAAATAAAATTGTAATACTGATTCATTTGGTTGATTATTTATATCCGAGTAAGTTTTTTGTTAGTCGTTTTTTCTGTTTTTTTTTCTTTTTCTATTATGATATAATGAATGAATGGAAAGATGAAACCCCCCCCCAAAAAAATGGGAATAAAAAATGATGCAAACTTATTTCTATAATTAGATTATGAATGAATAAATGTGGTTTATGAAGATTAAAAACCATCATTAAAGAAAACAGAAAAAAACATTCAATGAATTACTTTTTGTATATTGTAAATCAGATTTATGTTAGAAGATGAAATTACTACATTATGAGATGTATTTCTATTAAACCAAATTATGGTTGATTGTATTAATTTTAGTGAATAGAATTTAGATGATATGGAATTTATAACAGTTTGTTTTGTTTAATGCGTGAAATGTATATTAATTACATGTTTATAGACAAGGTGTTTGAAGCTAAAGGTATTGGGTTCGAGTCCCATAGTGAATATCAACTCTCAGATGCAGATATATCTAGCGGACAAGTTCCGAATAGGACGAAACAGTGTCAAACTGGATTCCAGTGCTAACCACTATTCATCTTTCCTTAAAATGCTTGTGAATTTAGTCTATATTGAAGCAATACGCGCAGTATGTACATATGCCATTAAGAAACTTCTGAACTGCAGTGCTAAACATCAATAGGAACATTCAAATAAACAATACCAAGTGAATTTGAACATCACCCGATTGTACAAGCAAGTGGCTATGAGGACTTAGTAGGTAAATGAGTGGATGAGGCGATGGCCTGCGAAGCGAATCTTACTGGTTTCCAGTCCCATAGTGAACATCAACTCTGAGATGCAGGTACATCCACCTGACGAGTAACAAATAAGAGTAAACGCGCGTCAAATCGGATTCCCCTGCTAGCGACTATTCACTTTTGCTTATAAAGTTTATTAGTGATTTGATTTTAAATATTCAACTTGGAATGTTAGAATATACAGGTTATTTGGGTAAGAATATAACACTCTGATAACGTAGTAAGGTGGTAAATGAGATACACGATTCTTGATTAAATAATTGTCAGCTTAATCTCTAATGAAATGACTGTTAGATGTTAAACTATACCAATGAGTTAAGTGGTAAACACAGCTTTCTATATTAAACAAATAAATTGACGAATAGAGTGATAATTAGGTTTGTAAAAGCGAAAAAACTTTTACACTGTGAATTTTTTACAAAATGAGTAGAAGCAGTTTATTTTATCCAAAGAACACATTACGCCAAGAGATGGAGACAGACATGATAAGAATGAACAACAATTGGATAGAACTAGACAGAAAGGCGCAGGACAGAGTGGGTTGGAGAATACTGGTCGGCGGCCTATACTCCATTGGGAGTAACAGGCGTAAGTAAGTAAGTTCATTTTATATGATATATACTACTAATCAGATTGTTAGTATTGTTCAAAAGAATAATTTCAAACAAATGTTTACAGGTGAATGATTCAATATTTGATATCTTTTGGTTCAAGTACTCTGTTTATTTCTAAACATACTTGTAAACTCTTATTTTGCCTAAACTGTAGATGAAATCTAAACGTAGGGAAATACTTTAAAGAGTTCTCATCAATCGGTTCAAAGGATATGCCTATACAATTAACTGGTGGCGTTTTAGTGCATCTAGGTATATTTGTCTTCCCTGATAATACTATGACTTAATGCATGAAATATTTCTAACTTATCAAGATTGTACACCTTCAGTGTAATTTTAAATTTCAGTCATTTATGAAGTTATTTTATTAAAGACAGTTAATGGGACAAAGGTTTGGTTCTGAACAGTAATCAATAAACCTGAGATACTGAGAAGGAAGAATGTCTAGATGTTGAATGACAAGAAGAATAAAAAAGAAATCTTCACTTAGTATGCTAGTCACTTTTTGAAATTATACGATCGTTTATTATATGAATACAACATCAAGGCATATATTCAAATAATCTAAAGTTAAGAGAGTCCAATCAATTTGGTCTTGTAATAACTTGAGCGATTACTGAATTAGCAGAAGTGGGTTTTGGTGGAGATTGTAATAATTGAATAGTTGAATTTATGAGTCAATTAAAGCTAGACCTACATAGAAAACTAGGAAACATTGAACTACAATCTCCACATAAACCCTCTCTTGATAATAATCATCATGTACTCACTAGTAACTGGCTTCAAGAGGTATTTCCTATAGTTCTAGTGATAAGTCGTGACCAGTGGAGTTCAACCGTGTCTGTTGTCAGATAGAAACACACTGAAGACGATGGTGAACGGTAGCTCAATTTCACGGATTGGTTGAAGCTAGACATTAACACTGTTGAATGCCAACTTAGTGGTCTGGAGGTTAAGAGTTCGTGTGTTTGAATCCCGTAAGCGAGATCGCGGATGAGCACTGCTGACTGATCCCGTACTAGAACGAAACTTTTGCCCAGTTTTTCTAGGTTTCCTATACTGGTCCAGTTATAACTGACCGATGAACTCAACTATTGAATGACTTAGTTGATTGGAATTTGAATGACATAAAACCGGATTTATTCCAACTGGCACTGACATATAATCACATCATGGGAAGTAATAATTATATGATTTAACCAATCTTTTTTATTTGTTAGTTATACATGAGGATTCGTATAACATTATGATTGTATTCACAGAGTAAGTTAGGGATTGATCGATGTTAAGTACAAACTATTTCAAACTATACAAATCGAACTCTAAGTATGACTGTAAACAAATCATTTAAGAAATAGTCTATTCATATATCATTTTGATTTATGTTTGGGATTAAATGAATCCATATCAGAAGTTTTTGTGTTTTCATTACGCATCGTCGGATCACGGTTTTTAATTCCAAAAACAAGCTCGTTAAGTAGTATATATATGTAATGGTGACAGATATAACATCTTAAATATGAAAACCAGGGAAATATAATCCTTGCAGTACATACAATATTACCAGTTTTTATTCATTTCTTATTAAAAGACTTATGGATTCCAGAAACTGCTACATTCAAACCGTTCAGGTTGTTTTCTCACGCTATATTTAATAGTTTATATCTAAGTTCAGTTGTAACAAGAGACAGTTTATCATTTTATAATGTCGAATGAAACACTTATATATTACTATTATAATATTTATGTCCATTAATTTAAACTAAACGATTTATGACATTAAATAGGAATAATATATTTTTAAAACTCAGCGAATGATATTGAAGTAAATCCAACGTCTCGCCTGGCAACCTGATTCCTTGAAAAAGCTTGAACCAGATTGCTAGGAAATTTGGTGGAACCAATCTATGGTTTGTTTCGAGTTGAGAATTAGAGTCCAGGCAACATGTCGATTTACCTGTTATATATAATCTAACGGTATAAAATTGACGATTCAGTACGTTTAGTACTATAATTTTTACTTTAAGGATTTAAAAAATAATTCTTCTCCATGTTTTTTAGCCGTATACAGAGGTAATTTTACCGTTTGTTTTATATGTTATTTGAATTTAGAGTAAAACTCAAAAGTCATATTCTTTATTATGATTGGCTCTTTTCCAGATTATAGTTCACTATTGTTTCTTTTGTAGATCCTTACTTATTATTTATCATCCATTCAGTCAGTATTTTCTCTACACATCACTAAAAAACTGTAAAAAGTTAGTTCTATATTGCCTTTCCATTTTCCTAGTTTCCCCTCAAAATGAAGATTTCATTTCAGCTCCATTGATAAAATTGAAAAACCCGTGAAAAAAAACGATTGCTTTAAACATATAAAACATAGGAAATCGTATTGTAAACTAGTGATAATGAGAGGTATTTATTACATTCATGTGCAAGATTTTCAATAACAAAAAGAGATTGTTTACCTCTTCCACCTAGTTTACAGTAATCCATCAAATGTAAACAACCATTCATGATCAAACTTAACATTTATTTAACCTTTGTGTTTAAAGTAACTTACAGTTTTTGTAAAACATTCAGCAGATTTTCCTGGATCAGATGAGTATAAGGGCAATTTTTCCAAGAACATACTAGAATCAGACAAAAAAGATAAAAGATAAACTTTTAAATAATAATGGAATGTGGTAAAAAGAGGTTGGAAAACGCGTAAACCGTAATGCACTTTTGTGAATCACGATAAAGTAGGTTAGTATTTTTTTCTGTATCATGTAACAATTGTCTAATCAAGTGAATCCATATGCATCATACTAGAAAGAAATAATGTTAAAAAATTGTAACGTTTCGTACTTTTAAATGATTATTTAAAATGTCTATTCCCTAATGTAAAATAAATTACCTCCGTATTCGTGTCACTCATCAGTTAAAAACTGTATGGCAAATAAAAATTGTGATTAGATTATTGTATACAGATATATTCAGCAGATAAACACTACAAATTGAATTGACTTTGAAGCATTTCATAAAGTATTTATACTTTTATTCAACAGAAAAGTCACGTTTGTTAAAACAGACAAAGTACAACTTTTTACGCTACGTAGTTGTACGAATTTGATGCTGTAATACAAACTTTCTATTACGAGGATTCAATCAGCTAATTCAGTATGGAAGCCAAAATTTAGTAGAAAGCTTTATTGTAAAGACCTGACTTGAAAATATATGCATACATTATTCATAAGTATATAACATTTTCCCTTAGAAAATTAAGTTACATAATCTATCGATAGCTTATATCCGTTTTTTTCAGAAAGTTGAGCCACATTTCTATCAATAACATGTGTCCATCAGTATCTTTCACATATCATGTAGTTTATGTCTGATTGTCCCAGAGTATCACAAATCAACAACTTTCAGAAGACAAATTTATTTGTTTAAAAGCAATTTCTCACTTTTTGTTTAAAGTGATTAACTGAAAGGTTAACTGAACAACTGAGAAACAATACTTAGGTGCAGTCCTGGTACCAGTTGTCAATGATGCAATACGATTGTTAAGATCACATTTTTTCTTAACATCATTTCAACACTTCATTACCTTTTTATGTATCATTTAATTGACGTATAAAATTTACTATACCATATTTGTCTTTTATCAAAATGTCTGAAAGAAATGTGAACACTGACAAACAGGTACATCTAAAAGATACCAATATTTTGAAGGGAAAAAAATTCCAGATTGACAAATAAACAATCAACAATTTGCGAGTATACTTTTTGTTTAAGGAACAATACTGTAAAGATTGTTTATTAAATTCATCAAACATATTAGTTCCAGTTTTTATAACCATAAATTGTTGCCACGGAATCGTCAAAATTGGCTTATTTTTATTTGAAGGGAGTTTTGTGGAGATTTTAGTAATTTTATATAGTTGAAATTGTCAGTCAATTGAAACTAGACCACCATGGAAAACCTGGATGCACTGGACGGCCATTTTGTCCTGTTTGTATCAGAATTATTATGATTTTATTATCATTATGTGGGTTTTGTAATCTAACTAGAATATTGACACAGTTAATTTGGTGCATTCTACAGCTGTAATAGCTTTAATAGTGTGTGAAGTGATGATAATTTCACAGAGTATTTGACTTTGTCTTTAGCGCAATCATAAGATTCACAGAAAAAAAAGGCTCGATGATAGAAAACAAGATTTTTGATTTAACCTAATGAGAAAATATGAAAATGTATATTCAAAGGTGCAAAACATATCTAAAATGTTTTCTAAATTAAACTGAGTCACCAGCTTCAATGAGTTAATATTTCATGATTAAGAGTAGTCGATAGAAAAGTTTTAATCAAGGTTTTGAGCTTATTGATACTCGTCAGAAAAATATTTCAGTGATTTTAAGTGAAATAATGCTCTCTGTGGGGTCCAAAACTGCCTCACACGATTTCACAGTCCAAGACGTTATCATCAGTTTATTCGAGATGTAAATAACTTCCTGTAGTAGCAAGATACATTAGTTCATAAATGTTATGTTTGTTTAGACCCTAGCGACGACTACGTTTTATCAAATAAGTTGGAATGCAGTCATTAGCCGAAGTAACCTAGAATCACGTGCACTGTGTTCTGATGCAAGTTGAATAAAAGTGTTTGTTGGGTAGCAGCGGATCTACTTTTGTGATTGATTTCACTTGTCATTAAAGTGGATCTGGAACTGTAAAACAATTGTCATTGTAGACGAAAATATCAACATGTCATTCTGGTCCTAACTTACTTTACAAATTACTATGAATGCTAATCAGCATAAAACTCAAGTCCAGGGCATGGTGTTGATTACTTCTAACCAACTAACATTTAAACTTAGATCACTCTAGGTGTAGTGATTATTAAACATTATGGATCTGATCAGTGGGCTGCGATCAATCTAAAGAATCAAACAAACATGACACTTCACTTAGTAATGTTTGTTTGAATCTTCCCATTGATGTTTAGGATTGTAACTGGTCAGTCTCTTATTGGCATACGTGCATAGTGTGCATATTACCTCGATATATCAGTGGAACCCAGGACGCGCGTTTCGTCTTATTTGAAACTTGTCAGCTGTATTTACCTACATCTCAGAGTTGATGTTCACTCTGAGACTCGAACCCAGTACCTTTAAAAATATATAATCAACTTACCCACAAAATTCAATAATTCTTTTCAAAGTGTATTGAAGACCTTTAATATTATCATGAATTGATTTAGGATAATCAAGAATTTTCTCTGAATTATCTGGGCCATTCAATATAATTTTACCATTTAATGAATCTAATACATCAGATAATTGTCTCAATGCTCTGGAATATTCAAGTTCAGTATCACAAAGTTCAGTTAATGTATACCTAATGTAAAACAAAACAAAATCAAATCAATTAACTTCATATAGAAGGAATGTATAACAGTGTAACAACTGAATATCAACTGTATCATATAGGTTTTAAGTGATATCATTTTATAGAAGAACCTAACTATCTATGAGCAACTTGAATATAAACAAATTCATATTATAATAATAATAACAGAGTTTAACTTCAAAATTAAGAACTTTTTTACAAAACTATCCGTCAGTCATTAAATTGTCCCATTTTAATGACATTGTTTCAGGTGTTTGACTTAGTAGTCTTATTACGTCCATGTATCAGTGTGTTCTCTTTCAATGTTTTGTATGCATCATATTTGAACAAATAGAAATATACAAACAATAGAACACAGAGTAGGCACATCTAAATAGTTTTTTAAGAATAATTTGTTATGCTTTATCTAACTTCAGTGAATTTGGCATACTTTTTGTTGACCAAACTTATTAATTTTCATCCATTGGATCAAATATACACTTCGAAATAAATAATTTGGTAGAAATGCTAATCTTCGTTGCCGATTTCTAATCAATTTTACCGAATTACATTCCAGATAGTCTCGCATTTCGATTGATGTTGTTTCGGCAGTGTAAATATGTTTTCACAGTCCATTCATCCATATAAAATCAATGAATTTTTATACTTTCCAGTCAGAACCTGTAATATATGAAGTGTAATAATTCTGCACTGGAAAGTCATTTTCCTGTAACACGGTCTGATGTTTCATTTATAATGAGAATAGATGACGGTTATAGGATGTAGATGAGTAAACGTTCAAATTATACTTTCATTCTCGAGTAGGACTACAGCTCTAAAATATACTGTCACAGCTATTCTATCACTTCTCACTCTTAGTAGGTTTTCCAGATGGCTTGATTCAGTGAAAAAAACTATCATGCAGCTATACAAATCCTCATAAAACGAAATCGTTAACATTCGTAGATCGATTGAATTGTGTAAAATGTTATGTTGCAGTCCATTTCCTTTATGTAACAACTCTTACTTTCATATTATCAGTAATGCTGACACACTGAGAAAAAGCGAACTTCTTGCGCATTCCATCTAAGTCAATATATTGGACGAGTGATAATTTCTCAATCATTTTCGATTTAAATGTCGTTTATTTTTAGAACAATCAATTTTCAACTAATAATTTCGTATTCAGTTTACTGCTAAATTATCTTAAACGTACACATTAAGGTAGGTTTAAAATTTCTGACCTAATTTTAAATCTGACATTTCAAACTATTAGTCTTATTGTTGAATATTTCATCTCTTGTCCAGCACCAGCATGAACTGACCGTTACGTACTTGTGTGGAAACAGAATTTATATCATGTTTTTTAAATAGTCTCTCAATAATATTCCATCAATGACAACATATGGTGTTGAGAATCTCATGTAGTTTTGATGAATTGGGATGATTTCAATGCAAAATGATGAAAAACATTATAGAACGGATGTGAAAATGATGATATAATTTCAGAAGTATGATTTTGGACAATATCATCAGTACATACTGGATGTACTCCATGGTTGTCCTCGTAAGCTTCCTTTTGTTCAGCTCTTTCGTAATGACGTTGTATATTTTGTTCCATTAGCATTTTGGGTAAGTTATTGATTGATTTATTTTGAATGGGTTAATAGATCTATTCTCGTTCAATTTATGTAATCATTAGCAATCTGTGTTTAGTCATCACTATGGAAGCAACCTTTATTTAAAGCGTTCAAGATATGTTTTCATTATCATGAATTACAGCTATTACAAGGCTAGTTGGCAGCTATAATGCAGTCTATGATTTCAAGTAATCTATGATATACGTAGACTAACATTAGGTAAGAATGTTTATTTGGAATTTAACGAATCACAAAAGTAAAGCTATTCTCAATACTAAAACATTTCCACAAACGGAACTCAGAATTTATGCGTGGATTGATTTTACACAAATGAACATGCATGGTAGTTCAATATATAGTTTAGATATCTCATTTAACTTCATTAGAACGATGTGAATGTCATTTTAATGTTAAGTTATATTCAAGTAATTTTGACAGTTGAGATCATAAATCAAATGAAGCTAGACCACCATGGAAAACCTGGAAGCACTGGACGACTATTTCGTCCTATTGTGGGACTCTTCAGCAGTGCGCATCCACGATGCCGCCTCACGAGATTCGAACCCATGACCTATCAGTTTTGCAAGCGAGCGCTTAATCACTAGACCACTGTGCCTGCATCCAACGTTGTTGATGTGTAACTTCAATTGATTCATGATCTCAGCCAATAAAATTACTATAACATCCACAAAACCCCTTCTGACTATATTTAAGTTTTATTTATCAATTAGTGTAAATCCGAATAGGTTTCAAATCATTTTCAGTAAAAACTTATCTCCTTTATTTAAGTAGTAGAGCTCGAGCCATTTAATCTCAGATGTCATACTTCTTATTGGCAGTATCTTATTCACTTAAAATAATTTATAGTTTTATACATCATTATGAACGTACAATAATGAGGTGTGTTTTTTTTGTTTTTATTTTGATCTTCATTTACATCAAAGAATGATATTAGTATAGTTTGAGAAGAATATGTTCAAATGAACAGTGACACTAATGCGGAAAAAAATTAAAAGACTTTCATACTCTCTCGTACAAAGATTTCCTTAATGTACAACTAAATAAATATGTATACCTTTTCATAGAAAATTCGTCACCATGGTACGTTGTTAAGACAAGCGAAATGTTATATTGAATAACTAAACCTTGGCACATTTAATAATCAGAGATCTGGTTAACTTTTTATTCATTGTGAGAATTATAAGTAATCAATTTATTATTGTGTAAAAGGATACAAAAAAGTATCCCTTATGATGAACCTCAAATCAGGACAAAATATTGTCAATTCTGTAACCTATTTTTAGTCAAGAACTAAACCTCAATTGATTAGCTATCATGTTACTAGAAAGAACTATTAGGCACAATATGACTTTGACTGTCAACTAACAACTTTTCTTGTGGGCTTTGAAACTTGATCATTAATAACACTATCAGTATATTTCATCTTTCTATAAACATTTATTTCATTGTTTATATAAAATGATTTACATTTGTCAAATCAACTAACAGTGATAACAATTTACTTTTATTGTAAAATTTGATTGACACTATATACAAGATAAAGTGTTATTGAAATAATCGTTTACGTTTGAAGTTTCGTTTCTCGCACCAAGTAATGAATTATTGAAATTCCCTAATAGAACACATAATATCAGCACCTTCTATTGACCTATTCAAAACTAGATTGGACCTTCACAGTATTTCAAACTGCAAGGATTAATGTGCATCGATAGACCTCCTATCTTTATTACTGAAGATTTTAAGATATAGGTATCAATGTCAACGTTGGAATTGATAGTCACAATAATTGGGCATTGAATAGAAAGTTGATAATAGATATATTTGAAATTGTGTTAATTTATTTCAGTTATTCATTTACTCTGAAGAAAGTTACAAAATGTCAAAAATACAATTTTTCTACTTGTTGAGATATAACAAAAATGTATTTAATAATAAATTAAAAAACTTAAAATTCGATATGACTTGTAATATATAAATGTATTGGTTACTGTTAAGGGTTTAAAACTTCCCGTTACTGATATTATGGATTGCAGGTAGTCAGTTTGTTTTTGGGATATGTAAACATTAAAATAAGTAACTGAATAGATAATGCTACTAAAAGAATTTTAGAGCAAAGCCAATTAGTAGCAATAAGTAGAATCCGTGACATGCTTTTCGTTCTATTTAGAACTCATTCCAATATTATTATTTACACAGGAACTAGACCTCAGAGCCTTTCTTTTCAAAATCTTAACGCATTATTCATATTGTTACTGAACCCGAATAAAAATGATTACTACTCCATTTATACGTAATTAAAATATTTCATTTTTATTATAGATTTATTCCTCGAGGTCAGTTGTCTTATCTCTTTTATTTTTATACTAGGAGGACCAAACAATCTATTCAATTTTCACAAAGCGAAGTAAGAACACTAAGATAGATACAATTGAAGTTTTATCAAACCCAAACCATAACGATGATTCTAGTCGAAAATATACTCATTCACATATTGATTAAACACTATTATTATTACTTAGCATAAAGTCACATATGAGAAAAATACCCAGCATTAAAACAAACTCATACGCTGTATTTCTTCCTGAGTATTCATTAATTTAATAGAAGAATATCGTATCTTTGAATGATATCACAGTCAAATAAATTAATATCATAATGAATGAAATATCATACTGGAAAATAAAACAAATACTATACTGAATAATTAGTATATAAAATTCAAAATGAAAGTCATGTTGAACAAAAATCCTAATGAATTAAAAGTATAATTTTGACTTCTCATTCAGTTTTACCATAAATGGTACAAGCCAATTAGAAACTAGTGTACGATTTCAAGATCATAGTGTCTAATGTAAATTTGTATTTTTATCCCATCATTAAGAAAAGACGTTGAAAGTGGATCGGACATACATATATAAGTAAATCATCAAATTTCATCACGAGGCTATTCCTAACTTGAAATCCTGAAGGGAAGCGGAAAAGAGGAAGGCCGAAGAACGCATTGGGCTAAGAGATTGAAGCAGATATGAAAAGGATAAATTATAGAAGGGGTTTTGTGGAGATTTAGTATTTATCATTGTTGAAAGCGTGAGTCAATTGAAGCTAGACCACCATGGAAAACCTGGAAACACTGGACGGCCGTTTCGTCCTATTATGGGACTCCTCAGCAGTGATTTCGAGAAGTATATCTAGGAGCTCTAGTGAGAAGCAGTGACCAGTGGAGTTCAAAACCACGTCTGTTGTGAGATAGGAACTCACTGAAGACAATTGGTGAATGGTTGCTCAACTTCGTGGATCAGTTGAAGTTAGACATTAACACCGTTGGATGCCAGCTCAGTGGTCTATCGGTTAAGGGCTTCGGCTCGAGACTGGTAGGTCCTGGGTTCGAATCTCGCTCGCGAGAGCAGGTTCGTGGATGCGCACTGCTGAGGAGTCCCATAATAGGACGAAACGGCCGTCCAGTGTTTCCAGGTTTTCCATGGTGGTCTAGCTTCAATTGACTCACGCTTTCAACAATGATAAAAGGATAAATATTAACTGGAAAAAAGTGGAAAGGATTGCCCAGGACAGGGTTGAAGCGAGAATGCTGGTGAGTGACCTATACTCCTCAACGAGGGAAGATAGGCGTAAGTAAGTAAGTAAGTGTCTCATCATACCACTAATACATTAAAATGCATAGATGGAATAATAAAATTGCATTATCATAATCCATTATTAAATTAATTAAGATTAGTGAAATAAGTTGATGTCATAATCTACTCAATTATTCTATTTTCTAGAGTGAAAGCCGATAAGTAACATCCTAGTTATAAATTATATATCCATAATGTTCATAATCTCTTATTATTCTTATGTTACTTTCTATAATAGTTTGTACATTTCTGAGATGCATTATGATAAAGAGATTATATCAGTGCGAAAAAAAATCTTTACCTCAGTTTCATCCGAGATTCTTGTTGTTTATTTGAAAAACTAATAACATCTTCTCTGAATGATTCTCTTGGATTTCTTTTACCACGTTGTGCACTTTTTAAATTTCTTGTTAAATAGACAGCTTTAACACGGCCAATTTTTCTAATGTCTTCACTAGTTCTTTGCAATTCTTGTGAATTTGGTATATTAACTTCAACCAAATCATTCATATAATCTTTTTCATCTATAATTTGTGAATCAGATTGGGTATTATCTTTTTTAATTTGTTTATGTAAACTATTAACATGTTGTAAAACTGGATGAATACGTACAACCCAATTATCTGGATTATCTGCATCTAAACAAGTTACTTGTTGATCTTCAATTAAATTAACTAGTTCAGGTGAATTATCTCTTTTTACTTTATTTATATTAAATGCAGCATAATGAACTCCTTCAAGTTGAGAAATCTAAAATTTGTAAGATGATAGTTATAAGGTTTAATAACCTTAAAAGATATCTGATAAATTTTTATTTATATGATTACTTTGTGTTATGTCTCGTATAACAATCGTTATTGTATATGAAACGTGCAATGATACAGAAAATACGTACGAGCAGTCTTGATTGCTATTCGGTCCTTCCTAACTGCCTAGCCCAGCCAGTTGAGTCCAGAACACAAATAACAGCCTCGGAAATATGAATCATTATTTACAAACATACTGAGTTTTTATACAAAGCAAAGTAATCAATAAACTGATTATAACTCAAGAATCGTATGATCATAAATCAAAGATCAAAATAATAGAAAACACGAATATGAATAATTTAGTTACGTAACAACTGTACAATAAGAAATAGGCATAATACATTGGTCGATAATAGACCTCAGATTTACGATTCATAATTCACCAGGGGATATAACACCTCCCCTTTTTGAGAAATCCGGAGTTGACATCCGGATTTTTAATTTCTCGAATTCATCCCCCCCCACGAAAGACTGTTGGATCCTCATGAACCCAAGTTACCATTATTGTGACATTATTTAAAACATATTCGTCGTATTTAGCTGAGAATCCACGAGAACTTATTAGATCGTGAGGATCGACTACATTCGATTTGAGGTCACCAGCGTCTGATTCTTCTGAAACAGTTTCCTTGAATTTACTCGGAACCTCATTAGTAAATAATGAATCATTAGGATAATCAGTATCTATGAAATTTGTATTGGATTCTTGATTATCATTTAATGCATCCGATATTTTTCTCCCATTTTTATAAGAGATTTGAACTGGAACATATGAATCAGCAAAATAATCGGGATCTGGCAGAACAATTAGATAATTTTGATCATTAGATTCATTAGAAAAATTTTCCGTATCATGAATAATTTCATTTGGCGCCTCTGCATTCAATATACTGCTCGATTTGCTTCCCATTTCTTCGTGGGCGGGTACTGCAGCAATTTCATGAGCATTTGACATGGCATCATGTTGCTGGGAGCTGGGAGCATCACTGTTCGGACCTGCTAATTCAGGGATAGTGGTGTTTGAATCCACTACCGGGCACGTTTCTGAAACAGGCAGCACCGGACTACTGGGCTGATCATGTAGGACTGTTACTGCTGCATCTAAATTACTGTTTTTCGCGGATTCATAGAGGCTTTCCTCTGCATATTCATTTGTTCTGTAATCGACTTCCAGTTCCGTACGCAATTTAGAAATCAATGCGTCAACTTCCGTTGCACCCCCAAAGCATGGGTGATTCAGCAGCGTCGCGTGTAACTTGTCAATGAAATCCAACTGACTCTTTTTAAAACGCTGCTCTTGTCTCTGAATTAGCAACTGAAATTGATCGGAAGTTAAAGCCATTTTTTTACCCCGTCGTCAGTTGTTATATCGTATGGGCCCGTAATTTATATGAACGCCAATTTAGAGAGGAGTGAATTTATTGATCGGACGCAATGATGATTGAAATCGTACGAACAGTATTGAGTTGCTGTATTTTTTTCCAGAATCCCCGTCGCCAATTGTTATGTCTCGTATAACAATCGTTATTGTATATGAAACGTGCAATGATACAGAAAATACGTACGAGCAGTCTTGATTGCTATTCGGTCCTTCCTAACTGCCTAGCCCAGCCAGTTGAGTCCAGAACACAAATAACAGCCTCGGAAATATGAATCATTATTTACAAACATACTGAGTTTTTATACAAAGCAAAGTAATCAATAAACTGATTATAACTCAAGAATCGTATGATCATAAATCAAAGATCAAAATAATAGAAAACACGAATATGAATAATTTAGTTACGTAACAACTGTACAATAAGAAATAGTCATAATACATTGGTCCATAAATAGTCCTTAGAGTTATCATTCATAATTCACCAGGGGATATAACACTTTGACTACTGAAATGAACTGTTGATAACAATAATGTAGATTTACCTATATCTTAGAGTTCATATTCACTATGGAACTCAAACCAAATACCGTTCGCTTCAAACACCATTACGTCATTCACTCACCCAGCTACTGAGTCCTGATAGCCGCTTGTTTGTGTAATGGGATGAAGTTTCAATTCACTTGGGATTGTTAACTTGAATCTTCTCATTGATGTTTAGGACTGCAACTGGTCAGTCTCTAATTGGCATATGTACATACTATGCGTATTGCCTCGATAAAGTCTTAATTCGCAAGCATTGTAAGCAAAGATGGAGTAATGAAGCGAAAGAAACTGGGTTCGAGTCCCGGAGTGAACACCAAATCCGGGATACAGGCACATCCAGCTGATGAGTCCCAAATAGAACGAAATGCGCATCCTAGATTCTTGTGCTATACACTATCCATCTTTGCTTATAATGCTTGTGAATTAAGACAATATCGAGGCCATACGCACAGTATGCACATATGCCAAATAGAGACTGACCATTTGCTGTCCTAAACATCAATGGAAAGATTCAAACAAAGAATACCAAGTGAATTTATATGAAATAGTTTGACGGTAATTAGTCATTTTTCTTTATTACTAATTATCAAATTACTTTATATATTTTCATGGATGACTATTATACGTATACGGTTAGTATCAGTTATATTTTGTCTGAAATGAACAGTAGTTATATTCTAGATAGATTGATAGCAGATATAAAAATACTCAAATTACTTAAATGACGCTTTCTTTTTTTATTAGAGAAGAATTTATAAATGAATGAATAAATGAAGCACAATCTGAAAGCCTATAATCGAAACTATTTATCATAAACTTCTCGTCTTATATCGGTTAAAATCTGAAAATGTTAAATAGATTTGATTAGTTATTATTTAATATAGTTGAGATCATGAGTTATTTGAAGCTAGACCAGTGTGGAAAACCTTGAAGCACTGGCCGGTCGTTTCGTCCGATTGTGGGACTCCTCAGCAGTACGCATCCACGATCCCGCCTCACGAGATTCGAACAGAGGACCTATAAGTCTCGCGCGCGAGCACTTAACCGATAGTTATTATTAGTTATTATTGTTATTAATGCTAAAATGAAAATTTAGTTATTTGGAAACCTAATGATCTAGAAAATAGTTGATTTGTTTTGGTGGAGCAAATGATAATCTTTATTCAGAAATGGAATCATTGTCAAAATGTTATCATTGAGATAAATTGTTAATGTATCAAACTCATCCAGTTACAATAACTTATTTGTCGTTATGAAAACCAAAATCTGGAGTTTTAAAGAATATGACGTTAATTTTTATTTTGTGAATATCATAAAGGTTAATGTAATACGTTGGATAACACTGACAAACTCATGTTGCTCATTATACATGATAGTGGAAACAAATATACGGATTTCATGAGACGCAAGTTATATTGACTGAATATCCTCGGCATAACCTCGCAAGGGGTATATTCAATAGATCAATGATTATTATAGGCACCAATTCTTCCTAGGGTATTAACCGAAAAAGGACACTGAGCTTTCATTTTGCTAAGTTAATACACTGAAGTTATTGATGTTGAGATCTGCGTACAAACAATATGATGTATATTTTATTGACAATAGTGACCACCCATTATCAACAACCTTTTATTTTGCGAAAGCGTCAAGTCAACTGAAGTCATAGAATTTTCAATGAAAAGCACTAGCCTCAAGTCGATTTATTGCGAGCCAAAATTCAGCAAAAAACAAATGAAGACCCTTCTTTGATGCAAATAAAACGTACTTTGATGTAATTCATGTACTTTACTTTAATGTAATTAAGAAAACAGTCACGTGTGTTGCTATAGGTTTTGAATAAACATTTTATCATAGGAGCATGAAGACAGTCAAATTATGACCATTTTATTTCTTAAGAGTGTTTATATTATTTTTCTCACGTGGAAAATCCTAAAAATCGGAATTTGGAAAATACTCGGAATACAGAAATTAATATTTTTTCCGAAGAAAAAAACTTTTACCTTCCGTTCCACAGAGAAATAATTTTCATCCCATAATTCAAATGAACAGTCAAAACTGCTCTTAGATCGTAAAGATAAACGTCTCGTCTTTGGAACCGGTGCATCTGAAGCTAATAAAAATTAATTGATAAGTTAGTGTTAGTTGATTTTATTAAACAGAAATATTGAAGAATCCAAAGTGCTATGTTCTTCAAGAAAAACACAATTAGAATAGTTTTCATCATTGCAACAGTGAAACAAAATGCTGTTACATAGTTGTAGGTAGCCGACTAGAAACCTTATACCTAGCTTTTTTGTTATTTGGAGGCTATACTTATAAAATTGAGAGAACTGGTGTTCCATATGGGATTCAATCTCTTGATACCCAGCTTTACAGACTAAGAAGTTACTGCGAAGGTATTCAAGGAACGACTAACTACAAGTATGAGAGTGAGGTCTAAACAAACATGACAGTGTTATAAGCAAAGACGGGTAGCGATTAGCAGTGGAATCCAGTTTGACACCGTTTCTTTCTATTTGGGACTGGACAGATGGATATAACTGCACCTTAGAGTTCATGTTCACTATGGGACTCAAACCAAATACCGTTCGCTTCAAACATCTTCCTGCTTCGCACTTCAACTCACTCAATTACACTGATTACGACTTCTAACGAAAACCTCGGAGACAACCAGTTGCTCCTGAGGTCAGTTCATGATTTAGGCTATCAAATTTTACTTTGATCAGTTAATGGCATCTAAATGTTATGTTTAATTAGATTGCTTATTTGTTCACTAGTGTTCAGTAATTACTGACAAAACAGTTGCGGTTAGTGTACACTATCAATGTTATATTCTTTTTTATTATAATTACCTAAACTTTTGTTGACAATAATAGCATTGAAATTTTAACATGTATACACAACAAAGCCAGTAGTTATTTCTCTATGACATAGAAGTATTTTACGCCCAGTCATTTATTGATTTAGGCTAGAAAATGTAGGTTTTTAAGGTATCTTTTTAATGTCTAGATTGTCGAGATAGATTGAATGAAAGTCTACTGGTTTCGTTAAAACGTTCATTTATTATTACCCTGAAGTTGCTGACCGACTCATTTTTTTCTAGCTGAATATTTGTTGAAATTCAGACAAATGACATCAACGTTTTGTTACAATTAGAAGCCGATAAAAATGATGAACAAAAGACAGAAAAAACCTGATAGTCTTTCACTAAACAATGTACACAGTGCTTTTGACTTTTAAATTTTGCTTCCTATAGAGAACCCACAAGTTCAAATGTTTTGATTTCAGGCAATTGAGAGCATGGCACACCTAAACCATCGATTATGTTGATCTTCCTAATTAATATATGATTTTATTTTTCGCAATACCTGGTCTTTACCTCCTTTGATATATAATTATTTTGCTAGATGGTGGATTATATAAATATTTCACCCCATTCGACAACTATTTAATAGTAAAAAGTTGATTCACTGAATGACATGTTAAACAGTGGTGTTTGAAGACTAGGTTAGAAACAATACCTTATTAGGCTTATTGACAATTATAAAGATAAACAAGGTAGCCCAGTTAAAGTATTATTTAATACAATAAAGTTGAATACATCTCATATTTCTATAATCTTAATACAAATTAATCAGTCTACTGGGTAATACATATTTCTTATTAGATAAATATACGAAATTCTAATTAAACTAATGTACAATAAGTATGTTTCTTTGTAACACTAATAACTATGTCAAAATACAAAAACTAATGTACGCTTACCGATACTCGGTGAATTGCTTTCATGATCCTGATTGACTTCTGTTTGTAAAAGAATTATAAAGAATATCATAAGAAATAATTCAAAAATGGTTCAATATATTCTCATAGTTGAAATCATGAGTCAATTGAAGCTAGACCACCAAGGAAAACTTGAAAGCACTGGACGGCCATTTCGTTCTATTGTAGAACTCCTCAGCAGTGAGCATCCACGATCTCGCCTCGCGAGATTCGAACCCAAAACCTACCAGTATCGCTCTAGTCCCACAATAGGACGAAACGGCCATCCAGTGCTTCCAGGTTTTCCTTGATGGTCTAGCTTCAATTGACTCATGATTTCAACAATGAAAATACAGAAATCTCCACAAAACCCATTCTGGTTCAATATATATTATGAAATGAATGTACTTCAGATATTTTATTAGATCAGTAATATATTTAAATCATAAATTCTGAAATAACTTTATCCATAAACTAGTTTTGATATTTTTAAGTTGTGGGTGTAGATACTGTCAAGAAACTCCAGTTAAGAAAGAAACATTTATTCAATGCTGTTTATTCATGTTTACCATCTTTTAACTGATGTTGATCTGTGATGTTAGCAGAATTTAAATAAACTGTTTCTGTATTCCAGCAACAGTATTGACATAAAATTGACAAATATTTACTAACAATTATAATCAGAAAGGGTTTTTGTTGATATTTTAATAATTTATTGGTTGAATTCATGAATCATTCATAGCCAGACCACCATGAAAAACCTGGAGACACTGAAAGCATTGTCTCTAAGAGGTAATACTTGGAATTCCAGTGAGAAGCAGTGATCAGTGGAGTTCAACCGGGCCAGTTGTGAGACAGTAACTCACTGAAGACAATATTGAACTGTGGCGCAATTTCGTAGATTGGTTGAAGTTAGACATTAACACCGTTGGATCCCGGCTCAGTGGTCTGGAGATGAAGGCATTACAACTAGATCTGTGAACAGTACTCGACAACTAAAAAATAGTTTATCGAACGTGAAAGTCGATTAAACTACAGAGTTAATCTTACCATCATTTATTTCATATGTATGTATTCATATGTATTTCATATGTATATGTAAGACGAAACCTGTATTCTTGGTTATGCACATGCGTAAAGTTTCCGGTATTTATTATTTGCAATGTCTACCACTCAACATATATCAGCCGCGTTTTCATGCCATACAGGAAGTAATTGTTCGAAATATATTTGAAAGAGTTGCTTAACAAGTTTGACATGTTTAAGACTATTAATTTAAGAAGATATCTGAATAATAATGATTAATAAGAGAGAATAAAATGTATCTAATACAGTCCTTTGTTTTTTAAATACGTAGATCAAAAGTTCTAATTAAACCTGGAATATTTATCATTAGTGAGGTCTAAGACCCCTATTTTGAGCCTGTCTTCTGAATGTATTCAGATTCCTGTGTTGACACTTACACCGGAACTCTAATGTCCGATTCATTACTCACTGAACATTTGAGTAGAAATATCACCGGATTATTAGTTGGGGAGAAATTTTATTTCAATTTGAGTTAAATTGGTTTTAATTTGACCGTTAACGGTTTCATGGGCTGAAAATGAACAATCGAAGTACAAACATCAACACTAAAACCAAGTTACACTTTGAATTCTACTGAACAGCGTTCCTTTAACCCACTAATGCCACTATCTTAACGATAATTGAATCTTATGGCTTAATGACAATATTGAGACAATCCTTTCTGAATAAAAATATGCCGAAAGAGACTGATTAACTAAAGTTCATAACACTAACAACAGAAAGATGAAAGCCATAACAAATCAAACAAATGTACTTAAAATTTTATCCAAATAACATAAAGAATCCATAACGTTATTTAAATGATGGTAATATTACTGGAAATTCTAGGAAGTCACTGGTACTCTGGAGTACTGATGTATAACCTTTTCCGTTTCACTAAACTAAAACAACGTCTATTGCATACCATCATTCTGGTTATAGATTATGGGGATTTTCGTATAACACTACAGATGTACACTATTTTTTAAACTGAACAAGAAACGTCCTGAAAAATGTTCATTATCTAAATATTAAAATGACTTTATATTTTAAATAAAAAATTTTCTGAACATATGGCTTATGTTTTTATACATACACATTTTTTTACTCTATTTTAATCGGATTATATATCATTTCATTAAAACAAAAATGGTATGTCATTGCATATAAACTGAAATGGATAATGGTTGCCAGTGTAATCTAGTCTGATACGCGTTTCGTCCTAATCAGAACTCCTCAGATGGATATACCTGCATCTCATAATTCATATTCACCATGAGGCTCAAACTCATTACCGTTCTCTTCAAAGACCATCACATCTTTCACTCAGCTAGCTAATGAGTCCTGAGAACCACTTGCTTGTGCAGTGGGATGAAGTTTAAATTCAATTGGTATTGTTTACTTGAATCTTCTCATTGATGTTTAGCACTGCAATTGAAAAGCTCTTATTGACATATGTACATACTGTGCATGTTGCCTCTATACTACCTTAGTTCACAAGCATGGTAAGCAAAGATGGATAGTGGTCAGCATTAGAATCCAGGACGCGCGTTTCATCCTATTTGAGATTAGTCAGCCGAATGTACATGCATCTCACAGTTGATGTTCACTCTGGGACTCGAACCCAGTACCTTTTGCTTCAAACGTCATCACGTTATGCACTCAGCTACTGAGTCCTCATAGCCACTTGCTTGTGCAATGGGGTGAAGTTTAAATTCACTTAGTATTGTTTGTTTGAATCTTCCCTGAAATGCAGGTATATCCAGCTGATGAGTCCCAAATAAGACGAAATGCGCGTCAAACTGGATTCCAGTGCTAGCCACTGCTTATAATAGTAATTTATGATACTTAATTTTTTTTATCTTTAAATTGTTAAAATCTTTTGTTCCGTAAATTATTGATTCATGGTAACAATTTTTGGAATAGATATCGTCCAAATTTAGTTATTTCTTTATATTTATGAACTAAAATTATTATTAAACGAAATGTGTATGAAAATTAGTTCAATGATTGTCAACAAAACTATAGTTCATATTTGACATTATCATTATAACAATTATGTGTATTCTATGTTTATGTAGGAATAGATTTTCTTTTTAAAAAGAAAATAATTTCAAAAGTTTTATAAATTGCATTCTATTATTGATGAATTGATAGAATTTAGTTATTATCAGAAGGGGGTTTTGTGGAGATATTAATAATTTTATATAGTTGAGATCATGGGTCGATTGAAGTTTTCCATGGTGGTCTAGCTTCAATTGACTCATGATTTCAAGTATATATAATTCAGTTATTCTTGATACTGATCGCTTTTGATTACTATTTTAGTAAATAATAAGAATAATAGTTCGTTTATCATTCATTGTGATATGTTCTATAGTCTAAGCAGAGAATTTATATAACTGTTAGAAATTACTACTAAATCTTACATAGCTTACTTAACAGTGATAGTGTGGTGTTGACTACTTATATCCAAATATGTAGGACATAACAATGGTAGGGCATTGAATGTATTTCAGTAGAAGATCGATGAGGAGAGAATCAGAACGGGACGCAACTGCTATGAAAATGCATGAAAAATAATAGTCGGAGACTATGGATTGATATTTGCAGAAGGAATAGTCAAGATTGAGACAATTGAGTGATAGTTTGCAAATTAACTGTTTATTGTATGGCTGTCAGATTTTAGTGAGATAGTCTGTAATTTTCGTGTCAAATACATTCGATTGTCCCCACTTCTGTTCTTGTTCACTACAATAGTAGCTTTCAAATTTCAACTAAATTTTAAAAACGTATTAGAATTAATAATATAATTTATGTGGAGTTTTGCTTTCCAAGTTAGATGGCTTAGTTGTGGAGTTTTCGTTGTTCTTTCAAACATAACCATCAGTACAAACTTCAGGTAGATTAATATTGCTTAATTATGACAAGATAGGGAATTTCTTTTCCATTCAAATACTTCTGTAGAATTCTACTGAGAGTGGAGTATTTGTCCTGGATTTTGTAAGCAAAATCATGGTAGTTATCTAAGTCCAATAGTTTGTGACTAGACTGGTTTCTCTAAGTGATAGATATTCCCTATCTTATTATTTAAGTGGATTACAAATTACTAGTTATTCATAATATAACCTAATTTTTGTTAGAATAATAAATATAAGTTACCCTTTCATTCTATTTATAACAGAAGATATCAAAAGATGATAATTATGTTTTGGTGAAAATATAAAAAAAAACTTTGTGTAGTGATTGTACAGATATTTAAATATACCTGCAGCAATTTCTGCAGCAATTCGGAAGACTCTTCCGGTCTCCCACATTGTCTGGACGTTCCATGTACCTATAAAATTGTTGCTCTGGTTGTTAGAAGGTTCATTGACCTCATGACTTTCGAAAAAACTCGGCTTTCATCATGAGACGTCATAAGTATTCCTTCAAATCCTAGGGCATAGCTACTCTGAGGGCTACTGCCAGTCCCAAGCCCGGATAATAAAGGAGGGTTGGGAATGGGGTTATCGACCCCATCCCGTAAAAAACCAACTCGCTAAAAAAATGCTTACCAGAAAAAAATATTCAAACCAAACCAAACCATTTCAATATACCTGAATTGCTAATTTTATTTTCAGAAATAGTATGTTTCTCGATATTATATAATAATCAATTATATTTTTGATAAGATTATAGTTTGCATATACATAATCAGTATTAATATTTTGACTAGAAACTATCTACTGAATACCGGAATCATTGTGTATATAATATTTTTAAATTAAGAAATAAACGGAATTGTTCGAAACTTAAATGCTTAAATGTCAAGTTATTGTAGAGGTAAGATTTGCTGATAATCTTCCGATTACCATGGTAAGAGGAATCAATACTATTGATGATACATTTTACTCGTTAATTATGAGAATCGTGAAATTTACTCAACTTGATTATTTCTATCTTGTTGTACTTTTCTTGAAATTACCTTCATTCTACTACTCAATAAGGTTATCCATAATAATATTTCAGAGTTATCACTGTAATCACTAATGAAACCTTCTCAAGGATTTCAAATTATTTATATATTTAATAAAACTTTAAGCCAATGTAACATAATAGTTTCCAAGTGACTGAGGACAAATTACTGAAATATAGTGATATAAACAGATTAGTACTAAAGAATTATTTCAATCGATCACATTTTCTTAATGATAGTAGACATAAAAGTTGCAGTCCATTTTGAATCGGTAATAAAATAAACACGGTTGTGTTTAGCCATTTAGACAGAAATTTTAATTGCTTAATAGATTTTTTGCTAATATACACCACAATTAAGTTTGATATGCAATTCAGTTATCTAACCAAAACTATATTCACGTGGTTACTGGTGTCATTTTTATCGATTACCCTATAGTTAACTTAAAGGCTTGTACTAAATAATTGTTTATTAGAACTGTAAATTGTTTTAACAATTATCAGTATGTGGTTGTGGATATTATTAAGTTTCTGGTTGACATCATGAATCGATTGATGTTAAACCACCATTGAAAATGTGGAAGCACTGGACGGCCGTTTCGTCCTACTGTGAGACTCTTTAGCAGGACGCATCCACGATCTCACATGCGGGATTTGAACTCAGGACCTTAAGTTTCACGCGAGAACGCCTAACGTTTAGACCATTAAGCCAGCATCCAACAGTGTTAATGTCTAACTTCAACCAATCCATAAAAATTTGCTACTGTCTTCCATTGTAGTGAGGTAGATACATGTCTCTATCTGATATGGATTAGCTCCACTGGTCACTGCTTATCACTAGAACTTCGAGAATTCCCTCACGTAGTTAATCACTAGTGAGCACAGTTTCAACAATTATTGCCACCATCGGGACTTCCCCCTGTTTTTTTATTTCTAAACGTTTTCAAGATGCAATATTTTTCAAAGCTAGTGACAATTGAAAGAGATTTCAATTATGACGTCATTTTGTTTTATAATAGGATGTTAGTGATAATCGGTAGAAATTTCTCGTTGTCACTTTCATAGTAGTTAAAATTTATGAATATGAAAATCTGATTGTTCTCATCAGAAGATTCAAATTGACTTCAGTATGTATATAGTAGTCAGAAGAATAACAATTTAACTGTTCAAACTGTGATTTATCTTCTATGGAAACATGATGTTTGCATTTATCCTTTATTGAGAAGTAAACAATGTTTCGTATTTCATAGTTTGACAGTATTTTAAAGATTTCAAGAGATTAACCAAAATACTTGAGATTGACTTATTAATACAATAGTTTCAAACATAAACTTGTAATGATCAGTTAATGACTTGAATAGATTAAGATTATTTTAATAAGTCCTAGGTTCGAATCTCGCGTGCGGGATCATGGATGCGCACTGCTGAGAAGTCCCACAATAAAACGAAATGGCTGTCCAGTCCTT